AGAAAAATGTTAATATGGTATTCATAGTTGATTTGGGTAACAATGACACTTGTTATTTCAATTGATTTTGAGTTGATTAACCTGTGATGACTGAAGAGCTGTAATTGTGTTATAGCATAATGGGTAAGAATACGGTGAAAGCTTCCTAGGACCTACGAACCACGAAAGTGTTTATTGACCTATGCATTGAACTTGTACAACAAGAGGAAAGAAAAGGTACTAGCTTAACAAAGAAAGCTTGAGATATTCTTGGTGATAAATTTACTGCCAAAACTGGAAGAGTGTATGAAAAAGCTCAATTTAAGAATAAATATGATTCCCTACGAAAGGAGTGGCAAACATGGGATAGGCTGTTTCGTGAGACAGGATTGGGATCGGATACTGAAAGGAATACTGTCTCTACTTGTTAATGTTTTGTGTATATTTACTATTTTTGGAATATTTTATGATATTATTGGTGTCTAATGTGCAGGAAGTTCCAAACTACGAAAAATTCAGAGAAAGAGGACTTCAATTTAGGGATCAATTAACTCAACTATTTGGGAGTGTGGCTGCAACTGGTCCACAAGCATGGGCACCTTCTTCCATGACACTTCCAAGTGAAGGAACACCGAATGAAAATTTGGAAGAAGGGTCCGGAGATAGTGATGAAATTTTAGGTGCACCAACTGGTATAAGTGGGGAATTTAACTCAGTGAACTTCAATGACAATAGTGGAGGTAGTAGGGGCAACAGTGAATTGAGGCAGGATAACAGTGGTGGGGGTACGAGCAGAGGTGGGAGTTGACCTAATAGTTCACTGGGGGTCAGAAGGAAGAGTAAAGTCATGAAGAAACGCACATCTCCCTCCATGAAAATAGCGGATGCACTTAGCAAGATTGCTGAAATAAATATTTTTAAGGCTGAGCGTGGCAATGAGGTCATTTCACGAATAGAAGCTAGAAGGTTGGAAGAAGAAGCTAGAAGGTTGGAAGAAGAAGCGCGTGCTTATGAGATTTCAATTAGGGGAGTCCTGTCTCACCTCAAAACAGTTCCTGAAGTTGTCAGTGATCCTGTCTTACATGGCTCAGGTTCGTGACAGCATAAGAGACGAACTTGTTAATTCAATACGAGGATAGTAGTCATGTCTTATTTATTTCCTTTTATCATAGATTGTAATATGTAGTTAAAAATAAAACATATTACAAATGCTTTGTATCGATGCATCATCTTAATGATTATGACACTTCTTTATTTATATTTCTCTTATTAATATTATACCTTATATTCTCAAGCTAATTATTACTTACTTTAATAATTAATAAATTGTTTTAAGACGTGTTTACTCTATTTTATCAAACAATATCATCCCATTTTATGTTTATAATCTTCATGAAAAATACATGACTTTCTGTTTGCAACAAAATAATTCATCTTCTCTAAAAATATTTTCACTCTTATATTTTATGAATATATATGTGTGGTGACAATTAATTAATTAATTGTATTAAACATCAGAGGTTATTATACATGTAGTATGTTATGATAAAAAGTAATTGTGAAAAAAATGTTATGGGATTTCACGTTTAAAATCTTTAAAGAAAATTAATATTTTTCTGTTATAAAAAAAATCATTTTTCTATAAACATATTTAATATTATGTTTTATAAATATATGTACACATATCAGTTATGTATTAATTATATTATCTTATATATTATTAATTATGTTAGTAAAAATTTTTGCATTAACAATTTTATTTCTTCAAACCAAAATATATCATAAAATCTATCCCTTATATAATTATCATATTAACTTATACCCTTTTTGGTAATTTTCACATGTAAAAAGTGCTTCTGGTAATAACTATCCAAACACTCTCACTTCTCAGAATCACTTTTTCTCAGAATCTATTCTCCACAAAATTTATTCTCCACAGAATCTATTCTCCAGAATCACTTTTTCAAACCACGGTTTGGTTTCATCCAAACACATCCTTAGAATTACATATGTAGAAGATTCAAGTCTAAATACATTGTGTTATGGATCATTTTGAACCCAATTCTCAAGAATTATGATTTGAAAGGAGTCTATTAGAGCCATAATTTGAACTACAATTGCATAAAGGTCTAAGAAGATTCGAGAATACAGATTTTCCTTATTTTAATTAGTTAGTATTAGGATCATTTTGAACCTAATTCTCAAGAATTATGATTTGAAAGGAGTTATTAAGCCATAATTTGAACTACAATTGCATAAAGGTCTAAGAAGATTCGAGAATAAAGATTTTCCTAATTTTAATTAGTTAGTATTAGTTACCAATTACGGTTTTGATGCTAGGGTTTTCAAGAGTTTTAGTTTATAGATAATTCAGCATGTACTCTTTTCAGGGGGAGATGGAGATGATTTGAATAATTTACAATATGGAGATGATTTGTGGTAACTTCATGACTGTCTGGGGTTATAAGAGGCAAGCCCTCTTAAGATTTCATTTCACTCAATACTTGTTTCTAGCAGGTCCGTATCCGTACGTTTCCTTCATATTAATAGACTTGGTTATTGACAATCCTACCTAATGAAATAAAGCTTATTACACATAATAACGCTACTAATAGTTTGTCACACTTTGTCACACAATTGAGAATGACAACCTAGAAAATCATTAAATACAAGTAGTTAATAACTAGACTTTTAGCATTGAAGGTCACAATAAATTCTTGAAGAACAAACTCTAGAACTATCATGGCTAAAGTATACTTTTAGTCTTTTAATTTTAGTCCTTTAATCCTAAAACTAAATTACTAAGAATTTTAAGTTTAATTTTCAAAACAACCATAATTGTTATAAAAAATCATTTACAACAAATAATTTTAGAGTTAAAGGACTAAAAGCATATTTTTTAAAGTTATTAATGGATTTTTTTTTTCTTAGAACGAGTTTGCCACCGGCTAAAATCCATTTTTTGCTGGTAATGTTTATTTTATTGTAATTAACTTATTATAATTGAATAAGTTAAACAAAAACTACTAACCATATTAATCATTAATTACTTTTAAAATTATATAATTATTAATTTAAATTTATTATGTTAATATTGCTTAATCACCTGATAAAAGGGGGGGAAAAATTATCAACAAAAACTGTCACCTTAAAAAAGAGTTTTGTGTATTCAAGTAAGGGAGTTTGACCGAGTATCCGGAAGCACCATGAAAATATGTGTACTAAATTGTACATCACTAAAATGATAAGAGTGGAGTAAGCTGAGAAGAGCAATGATATATAAAGGAATTTTAACATACCTTCAACAAGTTAATATAGTGGGGAACACAACTATTTTCACTAGCAACTATTTTCACTAGCATAGCCAACAACCAGAAGTGTGGAAAACCAATAAACCACACAATCAAGGAAATTTTGCTGAGCAATTGACAACTAAACTTGATGGTAGGATCTCCGCCAATAACTTATGAAAGGTATTAACATGATGGTAAAATGGATTAGTTATAAAATCGTTCCTATATTGATCCCTTCTATGAAAACTAATTACAAAAGTACTAGAGTAGGTTGAAACGTGTATCCATAAGGGCTGTTAAACCTACATGGTTTAACAGAGGTAAAAGATGGGGTGGAAGAGATTATGCGATAGTAAATAAATTTCCGAATGGTTTCGAAGGAGAGACCTCTTTTTGTAATGACAACATTTGCTTTCCTCCTAGACATTCGAGGGTACATTAGGCATTATTTAAGGAAGATCGTAGTCGCGGTGGCTAATCTTATCCCCCTTTAAGCTAAACATGCCTTCACATTAGTATTTTGGCAAATAAGATTCTAAAAACACTCCCATACCACAGATGGGAGAGCAAACATAATCCTCCCAATGCTTATGGCTAATCAAATTGTGAGAGGAGGGGAGCATGCTTGAAATGTTAATAGAGTCACACTTCAAATTAGGATACTGTGAGTGAATTTGACTTAGCCTTGGGAGAAATCCTACAGTGAATATGGCTAAAAAAAGAGGTAAAGAATTTAAAAACTCACTAGGTTTTAGGATATGATACTTCTAGCCAACCTCGAGGAGATTGTTACTAAGCGGGGATGGATTTGACTGAATGTGGGAAGAGTCTCCTATGGGATAGAATTAGGTTGAAGAAGAGATATATAAGTGGAGCCGTCTCATATGCTTCATGTTGTTGGTGTTGGCCCACTCTCTCTTTTCAGAAGAGAACAATTGTGCAAAGCAAGAGATATGTAAGGATATAAATTGCTTAGATTTTTTTTTTTTTTTTGACAGTAATAATCAAATGCAGAAACTCATTAACTAGTTCTAGTTCAAGAATAAAATTATATTCCAAAACTAGATAATATATTGTATGTCCCACGCTTAGAATATATCATAGAAACAGAAGCGGTGAACACACCATAAGCCCTAAAAGGGACATTTTGAATGCGTCACAGCTAAAAGGAAACCAGAAACATTTGTCAATGGTAGTTGCACTCTACATGCATATTAAACGGGGAAAAATCATTTGAAATAAATTAAAATGATCCGTACATCTCTCAAAGGACAAGGATTAGTTTTGAATTTCAAGAGCTTGTAAAAACCTCGTCTGATTCTCTCTAAGCAGGGGCCAAAAGGAAAAAGGTTCTATAATAACCAGGTTCAATAAACATTACCACTCCTCTCTAGATATTAGTTTTGAATTTCAAGAGCTAGTAAAAACCTCGTCTGATTCTCTCTAAGTAGGGGCCAAAAAGAAAAAGGTTCTATAATAACCAGGTTCAATAAACATTACCACCTCTCTAGATATTAGTTTCAAAAATTATTCAAGGACAAGATTAAAGAATAAAATTATAAACGATTTTATGGATTATCTCACGGAGTAACTTTACTAACCTCCTTGGAGTGCTTCCCAACATTCAAATTTAGATCCTCAAGCTTAGAGTAGAGCAAGGCTCAAACTCAACAGCACAGTCCCTCACCCTACTGACAAAAAAGATATAAATTATAGTTTTTAAAAAAAAGCTAGAATTTATAATTGGTGCTTAAAAAAATAAAAATCTAAAACCTATAAGTTGCTATAAAGTCATCATTAAGAGTTAATATGGTAATAATGAAACATGGAAACATAATACAGTGAAGATTAGTAAACTATCTACCTCTTATTAGATGATACAGCTTCCCCATTAGATACAGGAGAAGATGGCCTTAGGCTAGAATGAAAACTTACAATATATTGATTTTGACCATCCATTAAACTAGCATTGTGCTGCCAAATATATTGAGGGATCAGAAAATGAAAATCAAACATGGCTATTGAAAATAGTAAGAAATATGATAGAAGCGAGAAGAAAAGAAATCATTAAATTTTGTTTACTTTATAGAGACCTCATGTAACTTAATCTGGATAATTGACATTTTGAAGCCAAAGAGTATCATGGTATTAGTAGCATGTTAAATTAGAAACAACGCCCTCCAAAAACCAAGTTTACAGAACATTACAAAATATCAATTACAGGGCCTCTATATGATCATATAAAGTTCAGATCACTTTATCACTTTACAGTTATATGCCAATTATATAGCACAACTTAGCAAAAGGATATATATACCATGTTAAGACCGTAAGGTAATTTATGTGGCTCTTTAGGGGGTGGCTCTCTCTCTTACAAGCTGGTTTTAAGGGCACATTCCCCCTTCCTGCTTAGGTCTTCGCTAATTAGTTTGACAACAGAGTAGAAGCTCTACCCTTATTTGGAAAACAAAGTTTCAGGAGATAAAAGTTCAAAACATTCATGCGGTTCAAATGAAGTAACTCTAAAGGTCCTAAAGGTCATTATAAAAAATCCTCTCTCTGCAAGTGAACCAATCCTATTAGATTAATATAACTGAGGATAAGCAATCCTACGAGAAGATGGCTGATATTAAACAAATATAACATGATGCATTACACCTAATCAAATCAAGAGATCAAAAATAGAATGCTCCATATACATCTACTACTTATGTGTGAAAGCAAACGAGATGGCAGCCAGTCTTATAATGGGTCAGGAGAGCAATCGTAAATACTGATCCAATGAAGACATTACGGGAGACGTAATGTTGCATGCAAAGCAAAAACTATTCCCACATGGCTTTCAACAAATCAACACAAATTGCTTAGATTAAGTAATAATCAATTCAAGAAACTCATATGTAAACTAAATCAGCCATAAAAAAAAAAAAAAAAAACTCTAAAACTACATTAGATAATAAATTATATGTTTCTCACTTAGAATCTACATATCAGATAAACTGAAGAGTTGAAAGGACCATTGGTCCTGAAAAGGAGTTTTAAAAGCCTTGAAAGCTGAAGGGGAACCAGAAACGTTTGTTGGTAGTATCAGCACTCCTCATGGCAACGACAATCGTAAAAGCACTGCAAGTGGTGAAATATCTTGATGCCCCACATAGGACAATTGAAATGCACACAATTGGCGATAGGACAAGTTAGCAATGCCAATTAAAAATGCAGTAGAAAAAGCTATTTTTCATCAAACAGAAATGAACACAGGAGAAAATAAAGAAAGTTAAAGAAATACCCTTTATATATATATAAATATATATATATATAAAATATAGACCAAAGTGATTGCCTTTAACTTCAAAACTAAGCCCTTCCTATCCTCAACGGATACAGTACCTATTTTTGGGTCTCCAAACACATCCGAGATATGCAAGCTTTCCTCAGCAGCCACTTATTGGACGTATAACCAGTAAGCTCTGCCATCTTGAGGATAGAAGGATATTTTCGAAGTGAGCTGATTATCAGGAAAACCGTGCAAAATCAATAACGGAAGAAACGTGGGAATTTATAGTTAAACTAGAATAAATAAAAGGGTTTAATTTGCTAATAGAACTTTAATATTATACCTTCCTATCTATGATGGAATGTCAAAAATATGCATGAAAATCGTTAAGAACAATGGCTAAATGCCATCCGTCGGGAGCCCAGCTACACTTGTAAGCGGACCATCTTCCTCATCGCTTTAGACGATTTCCGAAACAGAGACGTCAAGTAATTCCATAAAGCTACAGCACAAAGGATATTGCTGGTAACACAGACCAGTAAACTTACTGAGAAGTTGTCTATGCCATAATGAAGATGATGTGATTTCTTCTGTGGTTTTGAAATCATTTTAACAGGCAAAAACTCAACACTACGAACAATTTATAATTAGACCGAAAAACTGAAAAAAAAATGCATAACTCGAAAACTTGGATTATGAACAAAAAAGCTACCTGAGGAATATCTCCCAAGCGATTGGAGGATTTGCAAGCCAGTGTGGGAAGGAGGCTCCTTCCAGGTCGATGGCTTGTTCTTGAAGGTCAGTATTCTTGATTTGCAAAGCAGGCATGCAGGGTGCAGAAAAACGAGAACGAGAAGACTGAGAGTAGAGAGAACAAAGAGACAAACAGGAACAAAGCGGGGGTTTCAGTTGAAAAAAAAAAGGAAAGAACAAGAAGCCAAGGAAACAGAAAGAGAGATAGCGTGGGAACTGGGAAGTAAATCGAAAGATTTGAAGAAGCCATTGTGTGTTTGTCCATTAGGTATCTGAACAGAGGTGGCGACGGGAAGACGGCGCCGCACTCCCCATAAGGCAGCAAAGCGGAGAGTCCTGAAAAAAGTTGTGCCTCTTGATTGTTAATAAACGCCTCACGTTTTCACGTCGAGAACGTCCTCTCTGTGGATCCATCACAGCCGAATGAGGGAACAGGCAGATAAGGAAGCAGAAAGCGAGAAAGAGGAGATTGAGAGCTGAGAGAATAGAGAGTCGTGGGGGAGAAGGCGAGCTAGGGATTTCAGTTTGAAGAAAATCATCGAGAAACAAGTAGCCGTTGGAGCGAGAATTCAAGAAGGCTGTGCTTGTGAGCCGTTGGATTGGGGCGTGTGAACAAAGGCGGTGATAGGAAGATGGCGTGATTCGCACGCACCCTACGACTGTTGGGCAGGAGCGTCTTGGCATCTTGACCGTTGAAATTAATAATAATCTAGTGATTATCAGTTTACCCATGCTAATAGAATGCTAATAATTGTATTATATATATCTGAAACAATGGTTTGATAAGAGTGCCTTGAGAATTTTTAGTCTTGGGATCTTCCAACACTTTTAGTCTTCATAATAAAGTTACGAGGGTTTAATTTGGAGATCCCGAGCTCGAAACCAAGAGGGTCTTGACATCTTGATCATAAAAATTAATAATAAACGGCTAAAGTATATGCTATTTTCAATATTTAATATAAAAGCTAGTTGATTAATTTGAGTAGATTAAAAAAATTTATTGAGCTAATTAGTTGTAATAATTAGGTGTTGTCTTCTCTAAAATATTCTTACTAATTATGTATTAGTTAAAATTATTATTTAATTAAACATTTAACATGTGCAATTATTATAAGAACTATTTTTAAAAAAAAAGATAAATATGGTAGATAAAATAGATTAAAGTATTATATTTAGGATCAAATTAAAAGTCAAATTAGCTCTTATATTTGGGTTTGTTATTGAATAGGTAAGAGTTGAACCGAACAAACCGGTGTGAGTTGGTGAAAAACTTCAAAAACCAATGATGAATTAGTTTGGATAATTATGTTATTATTGGTCATATTTTTTCTCATTCAATTCTTAATATCTCAGTTACTGCAAATTTGAATGAATTTTAATAATAATTTTGATATTAAAGATTATTAATTTTAGTTATTGATGAATCTCAAAAATCAAAATTCTCAATATTGTTGTACTTTGTTATTGTTACAATCAAACTATTATTATATTTCTTTGTATTTTGTTATTAGTGATTATTAATGTTGTTATATATTCTTACTTTTAATTAAATTATATTATATTAATATAACTGGTTTGATTTTGAGTTGATCCCAATCCGATCAACTGACTTTTGAACCACAATCTCAACCAAGTTAGTGTCCAACCTAGTTTTTTGTTTCTTGTTATTTAGGACCAGAATAAAAGTCAAATGAGTTCTTATATTAAGGACCAGATGTAGTATTTAATAGTTTGACTTTATACAGGTTTTAGTTGTATCCTTAATTCTAAAAGCTATACTTTTAATTTTCTAACCTTAAAATTATTAATAAAAATGATGTTAAATATCAAGAAGCAAAAAACCGAATCAGACACTAAATCGATTGAGGTAATGATCCAAGGATCAAGCCGGTTATATTAAAATAATATAATTTAATTTAAAATAACAATATATAATAACATTAATAATCACTAAAAACAAAATACAAGGAATTATAATAGTAGTTTGATTGTAACAATATAAAAGTACAACAACATTGAGAATTTTGATTTTAAAATTCATCAATAACTAAAGTTAATAATCATTGGTATCTAAATTATTATTAAAATTCATTTAAATATGTAGTGACTAAGATATTAAGAGTTAAAAAAGAAAAAATAGGATCAATAGCAATATAATCATCTAAACTGGTTTACTTGTTTTCGCTGGTTTTCACCAGTTTACATTGGTTTAACGATTCAGCTCCTACTCGGTTCAATAGCAAACACAAACCGAACCATTGGCCGATTTAACGGTTTTTCGGTTGAACCGACCGGTTCTGTCCGATTTTTTTCTCTGTTAAATATCGATAAAATATCAATTATCATTGAAGTCAACATTAAAGGACAAAAAACAATTGTTTTTGCCAGGGGAATTAATTTTGTACTTTAGCCGTAACAAATTAAGCAATTACCACTCTTTGTTGGTGCTCATACTAATCAAATTAATGTTTTCTACTTTTTGTATCTTATCTCGTCCTAACATTAAGACGATCGGGAAAAAGTTTTCCTGAACTGAGTGTTATCAAACTTACTTTTAGTAATTTATAAATTTGAAATAAGGATTTGATTAGATTATCTTTAATATTTTTTTTTTTTGGAATTAATCTTTTGGACAACATAAGTTAATGTTTTGTACAATATAAGTCTCTTAATTTTTATAGTTTAATAATGTTAATAAAAAAATCTAAAACTTTGACCGTTATTTCACTGGGCCAGAAGGAAGTTCGGCCTTCTGAGGACATTTTCCAGCGATGACTTTTCCAAGTATTACGCAAGGAAGATTTGGACCTCCTTTCTCTTGAGTAATAGAAAACTTGTCACTTTTGACACATCCATACAAACTTACGCCAAACAGGTTTCGTTGATTGATGAATTCAAATATTGATCATCCACAATTAGTAAAATATTATTTTTGGTAATAATCTAACAATCTAGTTTTTTTGGTAGAAAATAGGATACATGCCCTTCGATATTTAAATAGAAACTTAGGCTACTAGTACTTATATTACATATGCGGAAACTTACATATAACATACAGAAGCGGCGTGCTCTGGCTACATCCTAAAAGACTTGTTGTGAGCTAAACATCTATACCATTTTTGTTGAACTAGTCCAATCCTTAAGGATTCAATTGGTATGAGGGAAAATGAGGGGAGGGGAGGGGAGAAAAAGATTTAATAAGCTCGATTTAAAAAATTAATAAAAAAGAGTTAAAAGTTTTTAATTAATTATTATTATTATTTTTATATTACTTACTCTCTTTATAAAAATTTCAAAACCCCACTTTTCTATTTTTTTTATATACAGCTCATTAAAATTTTTCTTCCCCTCTCCTGCCTTCTATTTCCCTCATACCAAACAATACTTAATATAAAAGTTAGTTAAAAATTTAATTTGAGTCTAAATATAAAATCTTAATTCATTTTTTTCTATATTTATTTATTTTGCATCCAAGTAATCTTTATATTGATGGCAAGAATTTTTTTAATACACATGATTAGTAATTATATTTTAAGAAATATATAACCTATTTACTATAAATAACTAAGGTAATTAATTTTCTTAATATTTATAAATTAGTTATCTCACTCTTATATTAAAAGGCGGGGGTGTAGTATATGCTATAAATGCATTAATAAAGGATTACAAAATCGATTGCATCTTCCGAACAGTTTCTCAACTACAGAGAAGGCATATAAAATGCCGCAAGACGTTTGCCTCAATTCTTACACACAGATTGCTTTCATCTGTTAGTAGAGGACTCTCAGTCTTTCTCGGGTTGGCTAGCTTCCCATGTATTCAAATTTCCAAACCTTTCTAACATCTTCGAGCTTTATATTTTCTTGTGTAAAATATTTTTCAGAGCGCATCAAGTATTTTAAAAAGTATTTTGTGGTACCATTATGTTCTTAACTCATTATTTTAGAAGCAATTTTGCCCTTAAAATTGCTCCCCAAAATGTAAATTTTTTAAGAGCAAAATTGCTCATGAAAAAATATTTTAAGAAAAGGATTGCATCATAAAATATTTTAAAATATTAGATGCACCTGGAATAATACCTCAAAAATGTTAGATCAACCTCAACCTATTTTTTCTTTAAAGAATTTGATTGAATTTTTGTACTTTTCTTTGAAAAAAGAAAATAAAATATCCTAGAAATTAGTAAAGAAAAAAAATTAGGGTGGGTGAATTTCAAAATCTTAATTCAAACTTCTTGTACTATTTTGAAATCTTCAAATCTTGTAAAATTACACAAATGTCTGTCACTATTTTTTGTTAAATATTGTCACCTTAATACCCTTAGTTGGTTTCCAACAGTCAGAGCTTTGGCACCGGTAACATGTCACCAGGACTCTGGTGACCAGTCACGAGAGCTTCAGTGACTACTCTTTCTTATATATTGACTTTTTTGTTTGTTATTGACTACATTTATTTTTAAAATTCTAATGACTATTCTTGTTTAGCTACTAATTACTCCAACATTGTAATTGACTACTTTCATTTTTCAAATTTTGGTGACCACTCTTGTTTAGTGTAACATCCTAAATTTTTTTATCTCCGCGACTAAAGTAAATTTATAAGTAAATATTTACTAGCATCAATTTAACAGAAATTATATAATAAGTAATTAACATAATTATGATCATATGTATGTGTGTATAATTATATATATATGAATCAATGAATAAAATAACAAATTCGAGAATTCCCATATTGACTAAATGATGAGAGAATAAGATTCTACGAGCCCATATCGGTGGTAGTGGGAGAGTTGAGAACAAGTCAAATAATTTTCATACACAACTGAAATAGTCTTAGTAAAGTGCCATGTATAAGTTTGTAAATCGTTAGATTGAGCTAAAATTTGACCTATCAGTCTGGATATCTAGCTTTGTAATTTCAATGGTTGGATTATCGATTAGATCTCTAAGGTAAAATTTATTACTATGCATTGAACTCATTTTTTCAGATTTTGAACTTAAATCTCTGAGTAGTAAATTATTGTTTTTAACTATGTTCACCGTTAAATCGAGCCAAAATTTGGAGAATAGATTGGAGACATCAAATACTTTAATTTCAATGATGAGATTAATAATTAAACTTCTGTAGTGAGAATAGTTTAACTTGTATTAAATATATTTCTCTTAGTTCTTCAAAAATAGAACATAGTGTTGGAAATTGTGCCCTAGGGGCCAATCATTCTGTTTTGAACATTGTTAATTTATGAATTTATTAATTAAGTTATCATATTGTTTGCATGTTTACTGTGATGACTATCCTTGGATAACTTATGGTTTATCCTAAATGTCCCTGGTCGGTCATCTATGTGGGAGCAAAGATGAAATAAGACCAGTATGACTTTAAAGATATATAGAGATATAAATTAAAGTCATAGGCACATGTAAGAGTACAAGGTGTTGGACCGACCCGCTATGAGAGAGCTGTATGGGTTAAGTCATAAGCTTCTCTCATATACAAACCACGTCACTATGCCCTTTGACCTGAGATCATCATGGATTCCTACATGAGAAACGCTTAGCTTTGACCTAGTCAAAAGTCACTTTTGACCGAGTGATCATAAAGACTATGTTCAGGCTTAGTGTTTTTTTTCATGCGGAGGAATGTGAATGGTCAAGATGGAATTTGTCCCTCACATTCGTAGAGAGACATTACTGGGCCCCTCGATGAGTGAGTCTGAGAAATGTATGGCCATACTATAATGGAAAGGTAGTTCCGTTTCTATACTCAGACTACTCAGGGATCGAGAAAGTAACGGTCATGAATAGGAGGATGACGTTCTCCATGCCTCATCCATGACCAAAATGTCGTGTGACAAAAGGGACGTGATATGGTTGTATGAAAGGTTGCATCGTTCAATGATCCTCATATGTTTTGGGTAGTCGTGATGTCTTGCTAGAGACCGCTTACGACTTGTGAGTCATTATAGTTAATGGCCCACTGCCAACTTCATATGGGCCTACAGGGTCGCACACAAAATAGCCCAACACGAGTTATGATGTCCAGATTCATTGAATCTAAGATATGTCCAGATTCAATGAATAAATAGGGTGGACGTGTATATATATATATAAATTCGTATATATATATATAAATATAAGAGATATTAATTTATAAGGATAAATTAAATATATAAATTCCGTCATCTCTTTATTAAATAAATAAGTGAATTAAATCTGTGAGACGGATTTAATTTAAACCATATTTATTTAATTGTTCTCTTATCTGATTAGGCAATATTTGATATTGTATTAATTTCGGAATTAATTTAGAGTTAATTTCAAAATTAAATATTATTAATTAAACCTATATAGCATCCTATATATTTGATATGAGGAGCTAGGGTTTAAGAGTGAGAGAACTAACAGATAAGAGACGGCCTAAGAGAGGAGAGAGGACGAATTCCTAAAACCCTAGACGGACATAGGCGCTAGCACGCCGTTCGAGGTTGAGGGCTACTCGTGTGGATACCGGTAGAGGAAGCCGACCGGAGTTGTCGACTTCGAACGACAAAGGAGGCGAGCAGAAGCATCCTGAACGGCCGAATCATCGAGTCACCAGGAAATCGAACGCCTGAAGGTAATGCTTCTTACTACCTGACTTAAACGCGATCGGTAGATCCGGGAAAGGGATTGAAAGTTTTTAAAATTTTATGTCGTTTTCCGCTGCGCGTCGTCTTTCAATTTCCTTCACATAGACCATAAATTGTGGTTTTTCTACCTAGGTTATGATTCAATTGTAATTGATGATTCTAATGATATAATTTATTAATTGAAAGATAATATAAGCTAAAGGAACTTAAAATTAAATCTAAATCATGGTAACCCTATTTTTACTCCAAACCTTCAAAAAAATTATACGAGTCAAAATTATAAGTAACAATCCGGAAACCTTAGAGAGGGAGTTATGGGTTGAAATTTAGTATATAGCTTACCTATAAGATACTGTAATAACGTATATTATTCATTTGTAGATCTAAAATTTGGTTTGATGACCCCAAGTTCAGGGTCTTAATTTTTGACTCATAAGCACTTATTGAACACCAGGTAATGTGAATTCTTACTTGTTTCTCTTATTGATTTCTCTATGAGGAGTTTTTAATCAAATTGAACTTGTTAAGATGGACCTTGAATAATATGGAATAGGAAAACTATTTTGAAATTACGAAAAAACTTTCTAGAAATTTAGAACATGCCTGGGTGGATTGATTTGTGAAAAACGAATCAATTACTAGAACTTTAGAACTAGATAGAAGCTTGATTAATGATTTTTGAATGAAATTACAAAACTATGGCATATTGTGTAGTCCATCACGGCAAAGTATCCAAGCTATTGTTTTGTTTGACTGCGTTTTGTATGTTGGCATGAATTTCTAGGATCATATGGTTCTGCCTTGATTACTTGAGAGTACTTTTGTATGGCATGATATAAATTATCTGATATAGTTAAGGTATGTTTTGAATCTCATGTGATACATGTTCTTGTGATACCTGATGAGGATTAAAAAATGCTATGATTATGATTAATTGGCTTAATACTCATGGGAGATGTTGTGATGGAGAGTGATATACATATATTATCACGTGGCTTGCCTCCATAGCGTGCACTATGGTTAGCCTCTTAGAAAGGGCTTTATCCCCTCATTTGTGATACTCTAGGAGTATCCTAGGGCAGTATCCCCCCAGGGCAACACCTCACTAAGATACTGGGCAATAAACTTATTGGGACAACATCCCCTTTTTTCGAAGGAACCCATAGCCCACGTGTGCTTTGTCAACTGTAGCCAGTCCAATCACATGTGTGGAAAGGTTGTGAGAGTCAATAGTCATATGATTAGGACTTTGCCCATGGGTTTAGGTCGGAAGGTATAAGAAGGATATAAGGCTAGAATTGAACTATTAGTAATGGATAATGAATTATGATTAAAGTATGCATATATGCTGATATTTCCTTTAACTTATATATTTGTGATATTTGTTTCCTATTATGTCATAGTAATATGTTAATGATTATTTAAATTATTAGTCCCACTTGGCGCCTTTGAAGAGTGCTAGTAGGTAAGGTGAGTAGGAGTTTTCGTTATTAAGATGATAGTCTCGTTCCATTATTTCTACCATTTTTAGTAAGAGCAGTAGAGGAGTTGCGATGGGGAACGAATTAGAGGCATGAGATCACCTTCACTGGTGCTCACACCTCGAACTATACTCATGTTTAGTCATTATTTATTTGCCGCCTAAGATATTATTATGCATTTCTTTTTATATTCTCTATGTTGAAACTATTAATATGTCCTTTTATAAATTTTCTTTTGAGAGAGCTTAGGTCTATAGATGCATGATTGAACATTTCTCAGGAGTTCTTTGAAATAAGTTAAATTTAATTTTGTTATATTATTTATCACGTACAAACTGTGTCAATCAGGTCCGTGAAAGACTTTGTTTTTAATTATTTACTATTCTTGTGTAATCAATAGTTATATAAAAATAGTTACTGGAATTTTGGAAATAAAAGTAATTAATAGTTAAATTAGACTAGTTAATAGCTATGAGAAAATAGTCATTGAAAATAAGGATAATGTTATTATTTCACAATATTTTAATATTTTAAAATAGTACAAGGGGTCTGATTTGAGATTTTAAAATTTACCTACCTTAATTTATCATTTAGGATTTTTAAAGGCGTTTTAGTATCTTTGGCCAAAAAAAAAAAAGGCGTTTTAGTATCTTTTTCCCTTTTTTTTTATCCTTATATCAAATATCCTTTGGTGAATATTCAATCCTGTCATATACAAGCGAAGACTTTTCCAAGAATCACAGGACGAAGACTTAGTCAACTTAATTGGAATCATATTGTAATTTTAAATTAACTTATTATTACAAATAAATAAAAAAGCTAATTTGTTCTCATTGGAAAATTAGACAAATCAATCAATTCTATCATATATAAGAGTCCCAACAAATAAAAGAAACCCTGATATATAACTTTCAACATCTTAAATATATATATATATATATATATATAAAATTTTCCATTTAACTTGAATTATTGCTGCTACAACTTAGACATTTCACCAAGATTTCATATTTACAATATGAGACTGGGTCCTTCATGATAATTTTATTTATTCAGGTGACTTCTGCGTACTTTTGATAATTCGAGAGTCTTTATTCGTGATTTTTCCAATATTCAATCCTATCATATGCAAGCCAAGACTTTTCCAAGAATCACAGGACGAAGGCCTTGTCAACTTAATTAGAATCATACTGTAATTTTAAATCAACTTATTAATAAAAATAAATAAATAAATAAGCTAAGTTGTTGTTATTGGAAAATCAGATAAATCAATCAATTCTTTCATATATCAGAGACCCAACAAATAAAAGAAACCCTGATAACTTTCAACATCTTAAATATATATAATTCTCTATCTAACGTGAATTATTTCTGCTACAACTATTATCATGGCTTGGCTTGGCGAATAAATCCTAAACCCTATTCTCTTTTGGGAATCTGACTGAATTTTATTACTTTTTTTCTTTCTCTTTTTTTCTGTGTGTAATTAAGACTTTTCCAACAACCATAGGAGGAAGACTTAATCAACTTAATTGGAATCATATTGTAATTTTAAATCAATTTATTATTAAAAAAAAATCTAGGTTGTTCTACTCATTGGCTTGACTTGGTGAGTAAATCGTAATGTCCATCTTGTTATATAGCCCCACAAACATTGCATGGAAAAATAAACAAACTGAAAAGAAGCATCGGGCTATCAGTCGCAGATGATGGGCATCATTACTTTTTCTTTTTTCTTTTTCCCCCTTTTTCTTTGTATAATTAAGACTTTTCCAACAACCACAGGAGGAATACTTAGGCAACTTAATTGGAATCATTTTGTAATTTTAAATCAATTTATTATTAAAAAATAAAAAATCTAGGGGGAATTGCAATCAAGTCTTACAAAAGAGAAATAATTATCAAAAAGTTCCAATAATAACCTCAATAGCCTATAATGACAAGCTCTATAGTGAGAATAACAACCTCTGAAACTTGTCTTTCAATTGTTTTCCTTGTTTAGAATCTCATTGTAATTCTCCCAAAAATCTAATTTGTTCTACTCATTGACTTAACTTGGTGAGTAAATCGTACTGTCCATCTTGTTATTAAGCCCCACAAACATTGCATGGAAAATTAAACAAACTGAAAAGAAGCATCGGGCTATCAGTCGCAGATGATGGGCATCATTACTTTGCTGGTGATGATCTTGTCACTTCAACGCATGTTCGCCGTCAACGGCGATAACTTCTCCGACACATACAAAGCCACAGAAAATATCTTAGTTAACTGTGGCTCCTCCACCTCCGTTCAACTCGGTGAACGGAGAGCCACTCCTGATAATATAAGCTCTCCACAGTTTTCTCTGATTCAAAATCCCCTCTCGTTATCAATTCAGGCCAACTCATCCTCACTCAACAACATCCGTTCTTCCGTTAACTACGTCCTTTATACCACCGCACGCCTTTCTCGCTCAGAATTCACATACTCGTTTCTGGTCACTGAGGGCCCTAAGTTTGTTCGTCTTCATTTTTACCCATCTTCCTATTCCAACTTTGATCGCTATTCCTCACTCTTCTCTGTTAAATCAGGTCCCTTCACCCTTCTTAAAGACTTTAACGCTTCACTCACTGCAGATAACGATGATGATTCCAGAACGATCGTGTTCCGAGAATACTGTATCAAGGTCCAACGTGGGGAGCAGAGGCTGAATGTTACCTTCATACCCAACACCGCCATGAGTCTGCATGCTTACGCTTTTATTAACGGGATCGAGGTTGTTTCTGTTCCCTCTTATCTTTACTACACAAAACCAGAAGACCGAGGTTTTTATATTGTTGGTCACAGCTCCCTCTACCAAATCGAAAGCAACATGGCCCTGGAGACAATGTATAGAATTAACGCTGGTGGCCGTCAAATCTCACCAGATCAAGACACAGGAATGTTCCGTCGTTGGGACGAGGAGGAGCAATACTCGACGGAGTATGGTCTAACTCGAGTTTATTTCGGCCCAGACAAACTGAGATACACGCAAATTTCCAATTACAGTGCGCCAGAGGAAGTATACAGAACTGGCCTTAGCTGTGGTCCGGGCGAGAGGGCGGAAACGTATAACGTGACTCGGGAATTTGAAGTGGACTCACAGTTCTTGTACTTGGTGAGGCTCCACTTTTGTGATATTATGCCCTATACTGGAAATACTAGCGAAGTATTTTTTCAGATATTCATTGCTGATAAATTGGCTCAGCATCACGCTGATGTGTTGCTGTGGGCGCAAGGCAATCCGACTCCTTACTATAAAGACTACGCGGTGTGGATGTTGAGCAATGATCAAAAGTTGAAGAAACTTAATCTTTCCATCAAGTTGCAACCATATGATGGCGGAGATATAAGCTTATACAGGGACGTGATATTGAACGGAATTGAGATATTCAAAATAAGTGATGCCAATTCCAATCTCCAGGGTCCCAATCCCGACCCACGTCTAAACCCATACTCACCACAGATCAACTCCCAAAAGCCTAGAACCTCCAACAAAAGGACAAAGATCTTCGTCGTTGCTGGAACAACTTCAGGACTCATTCTACTATCTATCATATTTCTCATTATCTGGCAACTTAGAACTCGGATACAGTACTCCGCAGCCACGTTGGAAAGTAACAAGCACAGCTCGTCATCTCTACCATCCGATTTGTGTCGATGCTTTTCAATCGCTGAGATCAAAGCGGCCACAAACAATTTCGATGATATCTTCATAATAGGCGTTGGAGGTTTCGGTAACGTGTATAAGGGTTACATTGACAACAATACACTACCGGTCGCAATCAAACGGCTCAAACCCGGTTCGCAACAAGGGGCTCAGGAGTTCCTAACTGAGATTGTGATGCTCTCTTATCTTCGTCATGTTCATTTGGTGTCCCTAATGGGATATTGCAATGAAGGTGACGAGATGATCCTGGTTTATGAGTTCATGGCGCATGGGACTTGATAAAGCCCAATTTTTATATATTTTATCCATTTTAATTCAGGATTTAAATGATAATTTTGAGCTTAATTAGATTTTTTATGCATTATTGGATAAATTGGTTGATTTTTGGATTTTGCATAAAAATTGAGGTTTTGGATTAAAAATATAATTATTTTGGGATTTTCTATTTTTGACTTGGAATTAATTTTTCTCATTTCTTTGAAAACAAATCTCATATTTTTAGAAAGACTATTTTTAGAAAGTTTTACACTTTCTTGCCTAATTTTTGTGCATACCTAATATTTAATTTTTGATTATATTTGGATATAATCTACATTAATGAATGCACTTAAATTCTTGTAGGTCAAGAAAGAGCATATAGGAGATCCAATGGTGCAATATTGTTTCTTGGGATTTAAGCACAATCCAATGACTAATATCAAGTGGGCCAATTAATTACTAATGGGCTTGAGCTTTAGATTCATAAAAATTTTCTTTTCCCCCATCAAAATATTTTCCTTATTTGAGAGGACAATTCAACGCCATATATCATATATATATCCCCTCATATATTTGATTCATTGGACGGTCACAAGAGGACGAAGAAAATTTCTTCCTCCACCAAGCTCTCCAGACGCGCCATATACCATCCGTTCCATAGTCACCATCTTTGAATTCCCACCATATTCCATCATCATCATCCATTCATTTTTTTCTCACTACACGCACAGCTTCTCATCTACACCCATCATTCATGGCCGTGGCATCTAACAACTTTGGAGGAAGAAACAAGTTGATGGAAGCTTAAGCTTATTTGGGAGGCAACTTGGAAGGAGCATGGAGGAGACTAGAGTCTTGGGCTAGCACTTGAAAACCAGAAGGGAGTGATGTTCCATTTATCTTTTTAATTCAAGGACTTGAAATTATTTAGTTTTAGATAATTTTAAGTTGTAATTTTGTGAGACAATTTAGTTCTAGGTTGTCACTTTTATTCTTGGATTGAATTGATATTTGAATTTTATTTGTGTTGAGACACTTGTTGGAATTTATGTTTAGAACCTTTGCGTTGTTAATTGAATTTATAATTGAGTTTTCATTATGAGTTTAATTATCAATGTGGTTTGAATTGCAAAATTTGGGTTCTTTTGCCTCTTAATTGTTTAATTAAGTTGGTTAATTGTCTAATTGTTTAATTGGATAATTTCAAACATAATTTCCAAAATTAATTGAGTTAATTTTTCATTGGTTTTAATAAGCTTAATCAACCAACCTTATACTGTTATGAGTTCTCTAATAGTTTAAGGGCTTTTGAAATTGAGGGTTCCCTTTGTTTCAAGTAGGTAATTAAGTTTATTAATTTCACACTCTTATCACTTCCCTTTGGTCTAATTAACTAATTAAGGTTATGAAAGTTAAATTCATGCGAATCCTGAGTTGTCCCCTCTACTGTACCTGAAGAGAAATTTCTGAATTTTTACTTGCTAATTCTCTTTGCTTTCAGATTAATTTTCTTTATTCATTATTTTTATTTTCCTTCAAAAAACCCCCCCAAAAATTGCATTGCATTCATTTAGTTTAATTTAATTTTCATACATATTTTAGGGCATTTGCATCTTGCATTTAGAATTAGAATTTTGCATTTTAGTTTAGGTCCAATTTATTTTATTTTTTTTATCACCTGAATTTTTACCTAAAGAAACCCATAACTTGCTCCTTGGAAGTAATGACCTAGGTCGACCCTAAACTACAAATTAATTGGGACCTAGTTTAATTGAGTGCTTAACGACAAAAAGCATCATCAATTTTTTGACCATCTTTATGGGTCTGATTGTAAAGAACCTCTTTCTTGGAAGCAAAGATTGGAGGTAAGCCTTGGGGCGGCGCGTGGATTACACTACCTTCATTCAGGAGCCGGCCACAACATCATTCATCGAGACGTGAAGAGCACAAACATCTTACTGGATGAGAAATGGGTGGCCAAGGTTTCCGATTTCGGACTATCCAAAGTGGGACCTGCCGGAGTGTCTCGGTCTCACATAAGCACAGTGGTGAAAGGGAGTGTGGGGTATTTGGACCCAGAATACTACAAGCGTCAACGTTTGACTTTAAAGTCTGACGTGTACTCATTTGGGGTTGTGCTTCTGGAAGTATTGTGTGGACGACGGCCCTTGCTACGTACGGTGGAGAAGCAGAAGGCAAATTTAGTGGACTGGTTTAGAAGATGCCACCGTGAAGGAGTGATTCATGAGACAGTGGATCCGTTTCTGATAGAAAGTATAACACCAGAGTGCTTGAAAGCCTTCAGTGACATGGCGTTGAGTTGTTTGGCTGATGATGGCAATGAACGGCCATCGATGAACGATGTGGTGTGGGGCTTAGAGTTTGCGATGAAGTTGCAAGAGAGCACAGAGGACCCAGTTATGGATGCGAATAGTGGGGCCCAAAAAGAGGAGGAAGAAGAGACATTGTTGATGAAGAGAGTGATGGAAGATGATGCAGATAAGTGTTCTGAGATTCACTAAAAGTAAATCCTTATATATATAGCAGGAATCCTAAAGAATAAAGCTAGATGTCAATATTAATTTTCGAGTGTGTAGAAGCGCATGTCCTAAAACAGTTATGTTACTTCTAATTTTTCGCTATTGATCGATGTGGTCTCTGCAGATAGTAGTGCGGGCGCACAACGCAATCTAATCAAACCTTAATTCCTTAACTACTGTAACTAATTAATAACTAACAGTGTACAATATTCCTCACACCCCCTTCGAGTTTGGGACCATACAAGTTTATGGTTCTTGACTTGCTTATTATTCTTTTATGATCTTCCTCTCCAAGTGCTTTGGTGAACACATTTGCTGGTTGGTCCTTGGAGGCAAATTGATCACTCCTTGCTGCAAGTTTTCCCATACTCTTCCGTCCTAAATTATACTATAAAATCGGTCTCATATTTAGAATTAGAGGAGTATTATATTAGAATATAAACACTGGTTAAAATTACCATTTAACAAGGGTGGGTGGTACTTCCTCCAATCCTTGATATAAGACCTTATTTGACTTTTATTTCCTAAATATAAAAATCAATTTATTTTGTCTCTCATATTTATTCATTTTTTAAAGATAATTCTTCCAATAATAGTAGTTCTAACCAACTTGATTAATAAGGATATTTTAAGAAAGATAAAACATATTTATTACAAATAACTAACTTAATTTGTTTTATCAATCTACTCAAATCAGTCAACTAGCTCTTATATTTAGCATCAGAAGTAGTATTTCTATATGTTTATAATCGACAATCCAATCTCGGAATAAATTTCCGAGAGTCTGGGCACCAGAATAGTCAGGGAAATACTAATAAGCATCCAGTGATCAGTCAGCTCCATAGCCAAGCATATATAGACATGGTTCCAATTGTTCGACATTCAAATGAATAAAACGCCACGAGTTTCTCCTAATAATCACGTTGGGAAGTGGACCCCAACTCAACTATATGTGTGCGTTGTTTTCCTAATTCGTTCCAATTTTATTGAAGGGACGTCGTTATCCTCAATGCTTAATAGTGACATCATGCAGACATTCAAAACATGCGTCAATAATTGATATCACTTTAGCATAAAGCAAATTAAAAAAATTGGAGTGGGTAATTAATTAAGTTGAGGCATCAATTTTTGACCAAATAGAAAATAAATGAACTCTTGTAAAAATATTAACCTAAAGAAAACATAAATTTTCTGTGCTATGTTAATTGAAGATACTACTTCCAATCTTTGACATAAGAGCTAGTTTGACTTTTAATTTGATTTTAAATACAATATTCAAATTTATTTTCTTTTATATTTATTTAATTTTTATAAAGCAGTCTTGTAGTAATTATATATATATATATTAAATGTTTACTCAAATGACACTTGATTAGTAAGTGTATTTTAGATAAGATAATACCTATTTATTACAAATAACTAATTTAATTAATTTTCTTAATTTTTTTCAAATTAATCGATTAGTTTACTATTAAATTTCTCAATTGATGCTGGTTAACACAACAGGGACCACATGGAGATATTAACATTGTACTGTCCATCCGTGACGATCCACCACCTCACGAGTCCCGGTTACTATTCCAACTTTTTATCATTTAGGTACCTACGCTTCCATATAAAGCCGTGAACATAAAAAAACCTGACAAGCGGCTAATCAATTAATTTGAGTAGTGAAAGAGTTCATCGATATATCAGATCGGCCAGGAAGAATGAAGAAAAGCTACTGCTCCAAATCGCTTTTGTTGTTTCTGATGATCATATCGCAGATCAAGGTTTTTGCAGATTCATGGCAGAGTAATACTAATCATCACCAGGCCAAGGCCTCGCACAAGATCAACAACAATGTGAGCTATGTGGTGGAAGATCGTATAATGGAGAGCAGTTTCTTTGTGGATCCTCTCGTAGTCTCACTTAGTTCGGATTACACCAAAGTTTTGCGTTCCCAAAATAGAAATAAACCTGCTGTTCAATGCCCTCCAAAGAAAAGATATACTAGCTGCCTTCAGGAGCAAAAATTTAATCCAAAGCTACCGCGTTGTGGCATGTATAATAGAGACAAGAGGTGCAATCCGTGAAATTTACATTGTACGTGTTAGATTTAATTTATCTCTATGATCATCATATCAATGGTAGGTGGCTTGTGTTTTGTAATGGACGATATTTACATTTTGTGTTAAAATATTCCCTTTTTGTTGCTTCCTTCCTGAACCATAACATCAGAGTCTAGTTTTCTATTCTCATCTGCACAATCACGGAGTGGTCTCTGGCAAGAGAGCTCAACTTAACGCTGCAAAGAACGTAATTATAAAAATATAACATATTTTTCTTAAAACACTATAATTATCTTTCTTAATATCCGTATTCACTCTTCTACTTGATTATAACTGAGAAAGTATCCATAAGGATAATGTAGAAAAAATTAATAAGTATGAGAAATAGATGTTATATTTAGGACTAAAATTAACTTAAGAATTAAGTCTTATATTAAGAATAGGAGAAGTATAATGATAAGTTGATTCAATGGAGGCAATAAATGTAGATAATTATATACTCATAATTTTTTTGCTAACGTAATATATAAAAAAATTTATGGTCATTTTAAACATATATTCATATTTTTTTGCTGCCATTATTAAATATTCATATAAAGTATATAAAGTATGAAGAAAACCTTAAATAAAAAAAGGGTGTAGTGCTTTATATAAAATTATTTTTACTAGCGTTAAAATTCCTCCGTTTTTTGGCTTTGTGAACATAAAAAGTAGATCCCAACCACAGCAAAGACCGACTCGCCTGGATACTTAAGCGTAAAGAGTAGAACCTTTCCAACTAATTTTTCTTTCTTTTTTTCTTGGCCAAAACAGTCGATTTTATTAATCAACCAAAAAAACAAGTACACGCGCTAATAGCCAATTAAGGCCCGAAAAGGAAAAAGCACTCCAAAAGACGTAAAGATACAACCTGCCACTCCACAAAAACAGAAAACAACAGAAAGCAAGTAAAAGAACAAAACATTGAAGCAAAAGACACCAAAAACCAAGCACCAGTGAAGTAGGAAACATCTACTTAACCAATACCACATTTATCAAAACCAGTGACAGCAGTAAAATCCTCAGGCCCTACAGACCTTCTTCCCCACATAACATCAGTTACCAAAATCCAAGCCAAAGCAGATGCTGGATCAAAAATCCACCCAATAGGGTATACCTCTCTTCTGCAACTCACAGCAATCCAGTTTGCTGCCTCATTACCCTTTCTAGGAGTCAAGGCAATGTCAAAGGACCTATGGACATCCAGATCAGAGAGAATAGTCTGCAGTTCCCACTTGCACTGCCAATCTGCATTCTCAGATAATTTCTTCCTGCAACACTAGTAAAGTTCTACACAATCTACCTCAAAAATCACATCACTCAAACCCAACTCCTTAACCACACACAAAGCTCTTTGCAAAGCCAGAACTTCAGTAGTGAAAGCCGAATTGGAACTTACTTTATCAGCAAATCCCCATTGCATCTCACCAGCCTTGTTTCTGCAGATAATACCCATAGCAGCTAAACCAAACTGCACTTCAAATGAGCCATCACAATTAACCTTCAACCAATCATCCTCAGGAACTTTCTAGACCTCCTCACTAGGTTTATTAACCTCTGGTCCCTCCACTCTTTTGCTCCACCCTTTAGTGTCCCATAGCATCCTCATAGCTCTACCAACTTCAAAAATTACCTTAGCTGGGTTCACTTTTTTATATTCAAATACTACACTATTTCTTTTTTTCCAAATGAGCCACATTAACCAAACAACATAGGCCAATTGGAACTCAGCGAATACTTTCTCTTCTTCCAGCATTTTAGAGCACCATCCTCCAAAATTCTCAACCTTCTCTTCTTCAAACCTCAGACAGTTTACTGCCAAACCAAACACACTTTACCCAAGGACATGTGAAGAGGGCATGCTCAATCGATTCTAACTCTTCATTGCAAATGGGACACATTGTTGAGGTTCCACACTTCCTTCTAACAAGTTCTTCTTTGACTGGCACTACTCTCACCAAGCATCTCCACACAGAATGGATGATTTTTTACAGTGTTTTAATCTTTCATACTTTCTTCCATAAATCTGCATTCAAAACCACTGAAGTACTTCCTTTATCAGAGATCACATCCTTCTTTTTTTTAGCAGTTTGATATCCTTTTTTAACCTCATATCTACCACTTCTTGTAACTTTCCAGATTAGCTCATCTTTTTTGCCATTGAAGTTTAGAGGCACCTTCAGAATTTTCTGCAACACTTCCTCAGCCACCAAATTCCTCATGCCTCCCAAGCTCCAGTAGTCATCCTAAACTAGTTTAGATACACACCAATTTTATAGTGATCAGGTACCTGAATAAAGTCAACAAGACACCCCTTCAACTCTGGAATCTAGTTGTCCTTCCACACATTAACATTCTCTCCGTTACCAATTCTCCAAAGGATTTCCTTCTTCAAAAGATCTCTACCTATCAGGACACTATTCCAGACCTAAGAAGCCTTGCCTCTCTTCTTTGCCTCAAGAAAATTAACTTTAGGAAATAAATTCCCTTCAAAACCCTTACCCATAGATCATTAGGGTTATTACGTATTCTCCAAGCAATTTTAGCTAGAAGAGCATCATTCATAATCTCAAAATCTCTAAACCCCATCCCACCTTCTGCCTTTGCTTTAGTCATTGACTTCCAATTCTTCTAACGAATCTTCCTTGCCTCCTTTCCTCTACTCCACCAGAAATGAGCAACTATACTATCTAATTCTCTACATGTCTTCCTTGGAAATTTACAGCAATGCATCAGATAGATGGGGATTGCACTAATCACTAATTTAATCATAACTTCCTTGCCACCTTGAGTCAATAGTTTACTATTGCATCCCTCTACTTTTCTTCCCACCCTTTCTTTAATATAAGCTAGAGCTTGCTGCTTTGTTTTCCCCCAAACATTAGGAAGACCAAGATACTTCCCAGGTTCGTCTATATCTTTAATATTCAAAATGCTACAGACCTGATTCTTAACCTCTAAAGGGGAGTTTCTAGAGAAAAGAATCCCAAACTTAGCCAAGTTTGCTTGTTGACTTGAAGCAACACAGTAGTCATGCAGAGTGGCAGCCAGTCTCCGACAATTATTCTCATCTGCATTCATAAAAAAACAACACATCATCTGCAAAGAAGCTATGAGTCAGAATTGGGCATTTACTTGAAATTCTGACTCCCTTTAAGAAACCAGAATCTACTTGCTTAGTAACCATACTTGACAACACTTCAACAACAAGAATGAAGATGTAAGGAGACAAAGGATCTCCTTGCCTTAACCCTCCCCCAGGTTCAATCATTGCTACCTTTCTTCTTGAGAGACACAGATTCAACTTCACAATAGAGATGCATCTCATAACCTAACTAACCCATCTCTCATTGAAACCAAACTTCAACAAAATAGCCTCCAGAAAGTCCCACACAGCTCTATCATAAGCTTTGCTCATATCCATCTTTAAAGTAAAGTCAACTCTTCTTGTCTTTCTTTTTCTTCTCAAAAAGTAAAAAACTTCATGAGCTACAATCACATTATCATGAATAAGCCTACCAGGAACAAAAGCACCCTAATTTTTGGAGATACGAACGCTTAAACAAGGTTTCAATCTATTAGCTAGCACCTTAGATATGATTTTATAAGCAAAATTGCATAATCCAATAGGCCTGAACTGACTAATTTCCTCAAGTTTATCTACCTTTGGAATTAGAGTAATATTTGTCCAATTTAGGTCCTAAATACTCCCTCTTCCTTCAAAGAAGTCATTCATCATTAACTAGACTTCTTCTTCCACCACTTGCCAAGATGCTTGATAAAATTTGCCATTAAATTTGTATGGCCATGGAGCTTTACTTCCCCCTCAGTTGAAAAACTGTGTCTTTAACCTCCAATCTACTCACAGGACAAAGAAGAGCTTCATTAATGTTCTCACTTATGCAACAGTCTACATAACACTTTCTCAAGATTTCTTCTTTTAAAGGATATAAAAAGATTAGCATAGTATTTGGCAAAACCACTAACAATTTCACTTTCTAACTCCAACCATGTACCATCACGTCTTTTGATCTTCAAAATAGTATTTTTGCCTTCTTTGCACAGGGGACAAATAGAAGAATCTAGAATTCATGTCACTAGTCTGTAGCCATGCAATTCTAGACCTTTGCCACCGATAAATCTCTTTATTCTGCCAAAGCTTATTCAGTTCAGTCTCTAAGTCAGCCACCTTTCTCATCCCTTCCTCAGTGAAATTACCCTCATTTTTTATCGTTCAGAAAAGCTATCTTCTTCTATCTCATCAATTCCTTCTCACAGCTTCTCAATCTCCTAATCACATCCTTAATACAATCTTCTAAGCCATCCACCTCTTTCCACCCTCTTCCAACAACTTCTTGATACTCAAGGTGTAAAACCCAGTTGTTTTGAAATTTAAAAGTCCAAGGAGTTTTAATTCCATTAAAGCATAGGTCAATCACCAAAGGGCAATAGTCAGAGCCAATTGGTTCCAAATGGAAGACCTGAGCTTTAGGAAATCGCTCTTTCAACTCAATATTCCCAAGAGCTCTATCTATTCGTTCTTTAACATGGTCTTCATCCCTTCTCTTGTTACACCAAGTGAAGATTTGACCCCAGAAACCCATATCAATCAGTTCACAATCAGCCATGAACCTTTGAAAATTTAGAATTTTCCTTATTGCTCTTGGATGCCCACCTTTTTTCTCTTCTTGAGCAGTATGGTCATTAAAGTCTCCTATGCAAAACCACGAGCCCCTTACTACATGAGAAAATTCCCTTATAACATTCCAGATTCTACTTCTCTAGTCCTCTCCTTCACATCACTATACACAAAAGTTATGAAATCTGGAACATCGACAGCATCATAGTTAACTTTCATATTTTTAGAAGTATATAACACTTCCACCTTGATATCTCTATTCCACCACGCACAAAGTCCTCCACTCTTTCCTGCATGATCAACTTCCAATCCATTTTCCATCCTGTAACCTCTGTTCAACTTATCTACCACAACTTTTTTTTCAGTTTGGTTTCCATCAAGTAGATTAACTGGGATTTTTTACTCTCACTGCCTTCTTTAGATTTCTTACTGTCAAGGGAACCCCTAACGCTTGATAGTTCCAGCATAATATGCTCATGGCTCCTTGGTGGCTGTTTGAGGCCAGCCACTAAAACCATCAGTAGTACTATTTGAATTACCATCTATGCCTAATAAACTCATATCAAAACAACAAGTAACCTTATTACCAAAATCAGCCTGTCCTTCTTTTTTCAATCTTCCTTTTCTTCTACTCTGCCTCTTAGCATCCTGACACTTCTTCTTACCTCACCAATCAATATTCCAGGCTGAACTACTTTAGGTTCAAACGGTTCAGTTATATCAAACTCCAATCTTCTTCTTTTGAACACTCCCTCAGCTTCTTCCTCCTCAAATCTTTTCTTCAAACCAACCTTTTCCAGCCCTTTCGTGACTTCAAACATGGGGGAGATACTACCATACCAGACCACAGCTTTTGTAAGGTTCTCAACAGCAACACCCTTCCTCTTCTCCACTTCCCTTACTCTCTTCTCAATTTCTGCCTTTCTTTCCTCTTTCTTCTTAGTTGGTAGTTCAAAAATGACCAACTGCTTGCCATCCATCTCATTCTTCCTTGAAACATCTTTCAAACTCTTATTCATCTCACAGCTTTCTGTCTCTTGACTAGAATAATCTTTTTCTTTATCCCTGCTAGCTATATCAAAAGCTTGTTCATTCACAAGGCTGGGATTTAGACATCCTTCTTTACATCTATTATGCTTAATTGGTTCCACTTTCCTATACATTTTTCCAACTCTCCCTTCCCTTACTTCATCCCAATCCTCCTCACACACTCTAATTGTATCATCCCTTGACCTCGCAACTTGAATGCCAAGCCAACTTCCATATTCAATATTAGTCCCTTCCTCCTTTCTTTCAGAACAAGACCATAATTCATGTCTAATTCTACCACAAACATAACAGAAACTCTTTAACCTCTCGTACCTAACTTTAATCATCAAAGGATCCTTCCCTGGTCTCGATGATTTTAAACCAGATATTAATGGCTTCCTTAGATCCACTAGGACTGTGACTCTTAGAAGTTCTTTGCAATCAAATTATTTCTCTGCGGATCCTCAGCCAATTTCACCTTACCAATCTTCTCTCCCAATCTTATTGCATTCTTAGAATCAATAACAGTAGGAGGAAGACCATGGAATTGAATCCAGAAAGGACAAAAGTTAAAATCTACCTCATGAAAAAGCATATCCTCATCCCAACACTGCACATTCAAGAGGCATCCGTTGATCAACCAAGGCCTTCCATGTAGAATTCTTAGAAGCTCATCTATAGTTTGAAGTTGAATATGAATGCCTTTCGATCAGTCTCCACAATATCTAATTCCTCTCCACTCACCAGATTGCAACCTTTTACGAATCATCTGGATTGTTGTGGCTGGATTCAGATTTTTCTCTGTTGGCATCTTTCTGACAAGAGTGCCACCATTCAGTTGTTTCACGTCCTTCTCCTTCCAAACCAAATACACTTCTATCTCTTTCGATCTCTTCTTCAAGCCTCCACCACCATCATTAACTTCCCGATCCATTCTAACCTCCTCAATCACCACACTCACTTATTCTTTATTACGATGAATAACAAAGAACCACACTCTTTACCTCCGCCACAGTGGGCAATAGTGCTCACTCAAATCTCCCTCCTCACTGTCGCAGGCGGCGATAGGGCAGGAAGGGGGGGAAAAGCTACAATAAGCATCATAACAAACTCTCACTTTAGGATAGAGAAAAGCTCCCACCCAACTAATTTTTCTTTCTTGATAGAAAAATTTTAGGTAGGCACCGGGCCTTATCTAACGCCTATCAAGTCATATTATGTCAGGTAGGCCGAACCTACAACAAACTCTTGAGCATTTATTAAGACACCAATAAATCTTGGATGTCTTCCCAAACGGCGTAATGAAAATCGAAGCCTTCCCTTATTTAAAGAGAGTATAGTTCTTATTGTTGAACTCACGGACCATTGATTTCCAAAATCATTACTCACATACAAATTGTATTGCTCGTCACTTGCTTAATTAGTTACTAGAGCTTAGCTTTTATCACTTATATGCCAACTTAAGTTGCTAGAGGAAAGAAATTTTAATGTTATACGTATTTTTAACAAAATTACATGTATTTCTTTTAATTCAAAAAGTAATAAATTATATGATTCTCATGAGTTTTGTTAAAACTGAAAATTTTTATTTTGAAAATATGTACTAGCCGATCTTCCTCTAAAATATGAAAACTAAAAGAAAATAGTAATAATTAACAATATAAATTTATACCTTCGATATCATTGTGCTATATCCTTCATGCACTCTTCCGCGTCCCCAACTCCCTGAGGCCACGCGACTGTTCCGTTCTATTCAAACCAAAACACTAGGCAAATTATCGTTAAAAGTAAATTTGTTATAACTTATACTAATTTTGATCATTAATATAAGAATTAGTTGAAAATTTAATTTGATTATAAATATGAAATCTCAATTTACTTTACCTTTATCATTTTATCTTTAAGTAATTATTATGACGCTTACACATGTCAAGGAATTACTATCAAAAAATAATTCAAATGCACGTAATCAAGTAGATATTTTAAAAGAAACAACATATATTAATGAAATTAATTAATTTAATATTTATAAATTAGTTATCTAATTTTTATTTTAAGTACTGACGATAGTAACTAGCATAAGAGTATATGTAAGAATGATATGCATTTTATATTTTATATCCATACATGCAGATGACAGCAAAGAAATGTTAAATTCACAACCAACCAACCAGCAACTAACCAACTTCATCTGCATTGACCAGCATGGTTTGGGAGGTAAAACCATGGTTTGAGTGGGATGTCATCCAAATAATATCAATTTTTTCAGAACCTTGGTTTGATGCAGTAAAACCATGGTTTGCCCTGCAGTAAAACCATGGTTTGCCCAAAAGTGGAAATTTGGCATTTTTGGGGACTGAAATTTGAAGCCCCAGAGGGGCGCACGGTATATTTGACTGAAAACACCCCGATTATTTCACCCATTATTTCACCAGCTCGAAATTACACCCACTGGTCACGAACATGCCTCAATTATTTCACCCATTACCCAGCTCGAAATCACTCATCGGTACCCAACTCGAAATCACTCACCGATGGTTTCAGCTCCCCTGTTCGCCCTTCCTTCGCCATTGCTACTCTGAATTATTTTATATAATTAAGATAATATAATTATTTATTAATTATATTATTTTATATATTATTAATTATGTTAGTAAAAATTATTTTATTAACAATTTTATTTCTTCAAATCAAAATATATTATAAAATATATCTCTTATATAATTATCATATTAACTTATATCCTTTTTAGTAATTTGCATATGTAAAAAGTGCTTCTGGTAATAACTATCCAAGCGATCTTACTTTTCATAATCACTTTTTCACAAAATCTATTCTTTACAAAATCTATTCTCTTCAAAATCTATTTTTCAGAAACTATTCTTCAAACCATAGTTTGGTTTCATCCAAACACTCCCTAAGTGAGTTAGGTCAAAAGTGAATAAAGGGCCGGTCTTTGCAAGAGTAGTACTACGGGAAGTGAGAAGCAAAATGAAGTGAATAGTCAGACAGGGAGAGAGAGAGTTTTGAAGTCATCATCAAGAGAATGAAGAATTTCATCTCCAAAGTGCTTTTCATTCTAACAACGATGACCATATCAGAGAATCACGAGGTTATTTTTGCAGATTCATGGTAGAATATTGTTAACCATCACCAGGCCAAGCCCCTCGCACAACCTCAGCTCTGTGCTGCTGGAAGATCATATGGAGAGCAGTTTCTTTGTGGATAATCCTCTCGCAGTCTCATCACTTAGTGTGAATTTCAGCAAAGTCTTGGCTTCCCAAAATAGAAATAAACAAGCTGTTCAATGCCCTCCAAAGAAAACATATACTAGCTGCCTTCGGGAGCAAAAATTTGATCCCAGTCTACCAAAATGCAACACTTATAATGGAGATAAGAAGCGCAATCCTTTAAATTTAATGTATCTGTTATTAGATTTATGTAGCTCGAATCATATCGATCTCCTAGTTAATTGATAGTTAAAATCAGTTCTTTTCTTTTGAATGGTCATCAGTATTATCTACTCTAGCTCGGTCCAAGCTATCATCAGTATCACTGTCAGATCAATAGAAAGGTGGCGTTTATGCTTGTTTTGTAATGGACAATATTTGCACTTTGTACATAATATATATTCTTCCTTATTGTTCCTTGTGGCCTGAACTATAACATAGTATCAAATCCCCCCTCGATTGAGTTAGACCCAATACTCTCAGTTGAGATCTGAGAATTGAGAAATGTGTGAAGCGAGCTCTCTCTGTGTTGGTTTTTCTATGCTGATCTGTACAGTGATCTCGGCGAGTGAGCTCAAGTGCTCAACTTGATGCTGCCAAAGCAAAACAGAAAACAAACAATACAAAACAAAAGACCAAAAAATACTACATCTGCCCTGGATATAAAAACTGGTTGACTAATATGAATAAATTAATTACGAAAGTTTGTTAAGTTAGTTATTTGTAATAAATAGGTGTTAAGTATTGACTTTCTTAGAATATCCTTGCTAATCATGTATATTAGCTAGAACTATTATTTGATATAATCTTTAACATGTACAACTACTAAAATGACTATTTAAAAAAAAGTATAAATATGATAGATAAAGTAGATTGGAATATTACACTTAGAATTAAATTAAAAGTTAAACTATATTTTATGTTAAAGAATTGAGATAGTAGTAAATTGGGCTGTGAATCCACTTAAAACTATACCCACTTAAGCGTACATTCAAGAGTCGGCTCAAAAGTTACCAACTTAACATTAGCGGTTATCTATTTATGCCAACGGCTAAAAAGAAAAGGCACTACATAATAATATTCCTTTATTTTTTTTAAATTATGTAATTTTTGAATATAAACAAATTAAATATATTTTTCATAACTTATAACAGTCTAGATTTGATGAGTTTGAAGTACTTATCTCCTAGATGAACAACCAAATTGGTTTCGATAGGCACTAAATTATTGTATATATAGGAGATTTACATATTTCCAAAAACACAAACAATTTGTATACTTAAAAAAAGTCCACACGAATATATTTTAATAAAATTAAAAAAATTAAAAGAAAAATTAATCTTTTAATCTTTTAATTTTTAACTCACTTATAATTCAGTCCTTCAAGGATGATTCAGTGCAACTCAATCCCTATATTTTGACTCAGTTAAAACTCACTCCCTCATCTATTTATTATTTATAATTTTGTCCTTTACCATCAATAACTCATGCTGACTCATCGTTACATCATCTTACATGGCAAAAAAGTTGTTAATATCATCTCACAGGGCACCATTGCCGTCCACATCATCATCATATTAGAGCACCGTCCGAGTCTCAAAACAGAGTGTTGCGAATTTGGCGTTTTTTAACTCGATGACCAAGCTTGCTTCTTATTGCTAGGCATTACTTCTCTATTCTTCTCTTGGAGCTTAAGCACCAGCAAGGCCTACTGCTCTATTTCTGGTCATACGCTTCATGTGGTCTTTTCTTTTTTTTTTCCCTTTGAAAAATTTATGTATTCTCATGAGTGGTGACCCATTAAAATGGTGAACACCAGCACACCAATACACCAATACATAAGGAAAAAGTTTGAAGAAACGCTAAAGAATGAAACAAATTAAGACAATCATTCGAACGTGTTTCAGCAACTAATAATGTATTACTCCTCGAGTTTATCATCAAAGGGAGAATTTCAGTTAGATTTCAAGGTAATAATTTAATAACAGTGAAGTCTCAAGACAATCTTCAGTTGCAAGATTGTGGAGGAGGAGCTGCAATATTTTGGCACCTTAAGTATTTTTAACTTGGATTTTAGGATCTAATTGCAATTCTCCCATTTAAAGAAAACCAGAAAATGGAGGAAGAGATCACCTGAAACCGCAATGGTCAAGTCTACTACAAAACGAGGCCTCAATTTTCATGATAGTTATTATGGAGACAAATTTTAAATTCCTCACGCACTCCCCTGATTTTATATACGATGTTAAAATGGCATGGAGGACATATAACCGAGAAATAGTGTAAATACTGTTGAAGTGATGAGCAAGAACACTCAGTACGTTGGTGAACTTGATAGATGATGATCATTCAAACTTAAGTTGTTCGTCTGGTTCTGGATTTGTTGTTCTCCGCAATTTTAACAATCTTTTCACTATCATATGAGTAAATAATGAACACAGACACGTGACGCAAGTGAGGATATAGTGCCTATAGTCTAAGACAGAAACAGAGCAAGCCAAGCTCTGCAGAAAGAGAATAGAGAACTAAGAATGCTTAAGACTAACAAGCAAGAAAGAGTCAAGAAACGCCAAACACGTAACACTCCATTTTCAGACTCGGACGGTGCTCTGATGATGATGAGGACGGCCATGGTGCCGTGTAAGATGACATTAATAAATTTTTTTGCCATATAAGCTGACGTAACAATGAGTCAGGATGAGTTATTGATGGCAAAGGAAAAAATTACAAATGATAAAAGGATGAAGGACTGAGTTTTAATCGAGTCAAAAGTATAGGAATTGAGTTGTATCAAGTCATATTGAGGGATTGAGTTATAAGCAAGTTAAAAGTTAAATGACTAAAAGATTAATTTTTCCAAAATTAAATTATATTAAATTTTAATAAGCATCCAGTGAGTAATCAGCTCTGTAGCCAAGCATAT